ACCGCTGCACAAATTGCATGTTTTAGGAGTTGAAATATCATTTTGTTTATATAAGCTAACCAAGCCCTCTGTATTATTCGAGCTGCAATATCTTTAACCTTTCTGTGAGGAAAAAAAAGAGGTTAATATTTACAAAGTAGTTTTCATTTTTCTAAAACCTTAGAGAACTTTATGCTTCTTCCTCCTGTACCTCCCCATCCCCCACTCTAAGACTAACCTAATGAGGAACATTTGGATGTGGTAATTGGAACTGGTCATTTGCAGAATCAACTCAGAATGAGGATGTGAAATACCTGAGGGGATTTCCCTTGAGATTAAAAAAAAAAAGTCCTGGCTAAGACTTTATCATGAAGAGGCATATAAAATATAAATGTATCTAGCTGGGCATGGTGGCGTGTGCCTGTAATCCCAGCTACTCAGGAGGCTGAGGTAGGAGAATTGCCTGAACCCAGGAGGCAGAGGTTGCGGTGAGCCGAGATCGCACCATTGCACTCCAGCCTGGGTAACATGAGTGAAACTCCGTCTCAAAAAAAAAAAATAAAAATAAAAATAAAAAATAAAAATAAATAAATAAATAAATGTATCATTAAGAGGCACATATATTATAAATAAAAAGTGTGAGGAGGCAAGTTCACTTCCCAAAAACAACCACGACCTAAAATGAAACATCCAACTAGTTCAAGTGCTATGAAAATGGAATGGGGAATAGTCAAAGTTACAGGAGGCTCAGTTCTCTTCTGGGGGTGGATGACTATGTCCTAGAAAAAGAAACTTCCTTCTCTGATCTTTGCTTGAACCAGGCTCATCCAGGTCAGTTCATAATTATTCTACGTTTTTTTTTTGTTTGTTTTTTTTTTTTGAGACGGAGTCTCCCTCTGTTGCCCAGGCTGGAGTGCAGTGGTGTGATCTCAGCTCACTTCAGCCTCCGCCTCCTGGGTTCAAGCAATTCTCCTGCCTGAGCCTCCCGAGTAGCTGGGACTACAGGCGCTCGCCACCACGCCCAGCTACTTTTTGTATTTTTAGTAGAGACAGGAGTTTACCATATTGGCCAGGCTGGTCTCGAACTCCTGACCTTGTGATCTGCCCGCCTCGGCCCCCAAAGTGCTGGGATTACAGGCATGAGCCACCGCACCCGGCCTAGAATTATTCTACTTTGGATCATATCCCAGCACTGGCAGATTGTAGGCGTCTCCTCCCTCATACCTTCCCACCCCATCATTACCCCTTACAGGGCCACGTACAAAGACAGGTACTCCTGCATAAGGTTACCCATTGGCTGGGAAAATGCGGACTACAAGATAAAATGAAGAAAAGGCCAGGCCAGGCACAGTGGCTCGTGCCTGTAATCCCAGCACTTTGGGAGGCCGAGGCAGGCGGACTACAAGATCAAGAGATGGAGACCATCCTGGCCAACATGGTGAAACTCCGTCTCTACTAAAAATATAAGAATTAGCCAGGTGTGGTGGCGCACACCTGTAATCCCAGCTACTTGGGAGGCTGAGGCAGGAGAATCACTCGAACATAAGAGGCAGAGGTTACAGTGAGCCAAGATCACTGCACTTCAGCCTGGGTGGCAGAGTGAGACTCTGTCTCAAAAAAAAAAAAAAAAAAAAACCAAGGAAAGAAAAAGCCTGAAGTATGGAAACAAAGCTTTGAATCCTAGCTGATGCCATTTATTAGCTGTTTAACTTCCTTAAGCCACTTACCTTCTCCCAGTTGCTGCTTCTTCATTTATAAAATGTAATAATAAAATTGTTTCACAAGATTGTATCAGGATCAAATAGATGTGTGTTAATATGCTTTGTAAATTAGAAAATGCAATTATTATTCAATTGGAAAGTAATTTTAAAACACAAAATCAGCTGGATGTGGTGGCTCACGCCTGTAATCCCAGCACTTTGGGAGGCCGAGGCAGGCGGATTACAAGGTCAAGAGATGGAGATCATCCTGGCCAATATGGTGAAACCCCGTCTCTACTAAAAATACAAACATTAGCTGGGTGTGGTGGCGGGTGCCTGTAATCCCAGCTACTCAGGAGGCTGAGGAAGGAGAATCGCTTGAACCTGGGAGGCGGACATTACAGTGAGCTGAGATCGTGCCATTGCACTCCAGCCTGGGCTACAGAGCGAGACTCCGCCTCAAAACAAACAAAAACAAAACAAAAACACAAAATCTCTGATTTACAAAACAAGAAGAATTGAAGTTATCTGGATAAGTACTGTTTGGAAACTGTATGGTTGTGGAAAGTAACACAAGGCAAAATATGGGTACTTACGATGATAATGATGATCCTGTGGTTGGTACACTTTCGAAACGTACTCTATGAGCTTTTCTTGAGGTTCTAGTACCTGATTTCAGAATACCTTTAAGTGTTGCATTTGAAGAACGATTCATTTTCTCGCCAATGAAGTAATCTGAAAGTATATAAATTAAGCCTTTGAGGTCATAATTTATACTATGACATCGTTTGGACAAGACTCAAGTGCCATATGATTGTTGTACTAATTCTGAGTTCTTTAAAAAGGAAGGCGTTGTGGATCTCTTAAAGTTGCTTACAGTTTACATTCTTTGTGTGTACATTCCATATACCATATGGTACATTCCATATACCATAAAAACATTTTATGGTATATGGAAAAGACAAGTAAATCTATCCATAGCCTTCTAACTGGTCTGTCTCCAGTCTTTTTCTCCTCTCATTGACCTACCACACTGCACCTGGAGTTAACTTTGTAGCTCAATAATTCAATCTCATCACTGCCTAGCACAGTGGAGGGTTTTTACATGTTTGTCTAAACACGTTTTGTCCCAGTTTTATCATCAAATAGCAGTGGGACTCTGGGCAAGTCACTTAACCTCTCAGTGGTTCAGTTCCCTCGCTGGTAAAGTGAGAGGCTGTGCTCTAAATTTCTGATTCCACCTCCAACTTTCTATTCTTTAAAGCATCCAATTTGGATGCAGTAACACTCCAGTTTGGATGCAGCTCCCAAATTCTTAGTCACGGCTTGGTCTCTGTTACTAAACCAGGGGCTCTTTATCATTTCTTTTGGTGCCATGGACCCCTATGGACAGATCTCTTCTAAGAATTGGTTTTAAAATGCATAACATAAAATACATAGGATTACAAAGTGCTCCCATTATACTGAAATTATCAAAATATTTTTAACAACAAAATTATAGTAAATGTGTCTTCTTAATGCATTAAATGAGCTCTAATAACTACTGTATTTTTGAGGTAGTAATGAGCATAAATATTTCAAGATCTCTGACATGACTGCAATGTAGCATGAAAATATCTGCTTTTATCATCCATGCTAATATACTGTGGTTTGCTGTCTACACTATAACTGAAAGAAACAAAGTTCAGTTAGAGGTTAGTGGAAATGGAGTTGTCATTTTTTCCCCCAAGTTCACATACCCCCTGAATTAGGAACTTCTGCCCTATTTTCTCAATATGTATGTTTCACACTTTTATGTATGTGTGATGTTACACTGTGCTGCAGAGAGCCTTCTGAGTCTATTCAATATTTCTCCTTGGGCCAGAGGAGGTGGCTCACGCCTGTAATCCCAGCACTTTGGGAGACCAAGGAAGGTAGATCACGAGGTCAGGAGATCGAGACCATCCTGGCCAACATGGTGAAACCCCATCTCTATTAAATATACAAAAAAAAATTAGCTAGGCGTGGTGGCACATGCCTGTAATCCCAGCTACTGGGGAAGCTGAGGCAGTAGAATCGCTTGAACGGGGGAGTCAGAGATTGCAGTGAGCCGAGATCGCACCACTGCACTCCAGCCTGGAGACAGAGCAAGACTCCGTCTCAAAAAAAAAAAATTTCTCCTTGGGGATGCCTTGGAATATACAACCCTCTTAAGAAAAAGCAGCCGTTAACATCTGGGAGATGGCTGGCATTCACAGCTGGGCCTTGGTGTTACCATTGCTTCCTAACAACACCCAATCCAGAGCAAAGCTCCTGCTTCCTTGAACTCGCCCCAAAATCACCGAACCAAAGCCCAAATCCTATAATAAATCTTTCTAACACTCTTTTACTGAAATATGTCACTGTGTTCCTATATGTGCGATTTCCTTGGAGCAATGAGAAACCCAAAAACTACAGGCGTGTCCCTAGTGGGTTTTGGCTGAAGGGCAGTGACATGTCACTGTACAAATTCCAAATTTTTCCAGCTGCCCGCCTGGATGGGGCTTACACTTTCTATAGGATTAGAGCAGAAATACAGAATGAAATAGGAAATACATCCTCATTATGACACAGTGCAACGATTATTTTTGCTAGAACACAGGTTTCAAGAGCAGACTAATGGGTTTGGATCCTAGCTTCCCACTTTCTTTGTGGTCTTGTACAAATTACTTCTCTGTGCCTCAGTTTCTTCATCTATGTATTGGGAATAATAATCATGCCCACCTACTTCCGTCGTTGGAAAGATTAGATGAATGTGTATAAAGAACTTAGATCAGGGCTGCACACATCCTAAGTGCTGTATCAGTGCTTGTTACTCTAGTTAACAAGATAATTATTGCCATTATCATTGACTTCTGCAAGTATTAAGGGACAAACATTTGATTCCCAGAGAGGAGGCTTACCGCTTGTTTCTTAAAGGGAAAAAAATAAGCTCTGAGCCTTTTCCGATTAAAGGACATAGTATGTTAGTTTAAATTTAAAACCTGAGAAAGGTCCAGTCAACGGTTAAAAATCTTAAAACCTTTCGTAAGGTAAATCCAGTCCTCCAGCCGGCGGCTTCCGGCTGCGAGGCTTTCGAAGCCGCCCGAGGCCCTCCCAGCGCCCCCTTCCGGCAACCTGTGCTCACAGAAATCCCAGCCCACGCCACTGGGCGCCCAATAGCGGCGGCGGAGGCAGTTTCCCAGCGCCGCACGACGCCGGGCACCTCCCTTGCGCCTCCGCGTACCGCCCACACAGAGCCGGTGCTTTCTTGCCGCCTAGCAACCGCCGGCGCAGGGGCGGAGCCTCCTGGAGGGCGGGTCTTGCGTTCATCCGCCGCCCGGGGCGCGACGTTCTGCGGCTCAGAGACGCGGCTTCTAGAACCGGGTGATTGTACTAAGCCTTCGCCGTACCGAATTTGCCGTACGGCTGCCACCCGCACCGCAACCCGCTTGCCGTTGGAGAAAGCAAGGCCCTATCGGGCCTCCGTAGTCACCTCTCCATAGTGGGCGTGGCCGAGGCCGGGGTGACCCTGCCGGAGCCACCGTTGCCAGCGACATGTACAAGGTGAGAGCGTGGAGCTGGGTCACAGCTGTCACCGCCCCCTCCCGGCCGCCCGAGCCCTCCCCGCGCTCTCTTGGGACCTCTCCGCCGGCCAGGCCCGACTCACCCCGAGGCTTTTCCCGCCACTGGGCCGGCTGCGTCCCAGCCCCGCGGTTCATTCACCGGTCTGCTGGGGATGAGCGGCTACTGGGTGGAGGCGGGAGACCCCCTAGTGGGTGGGGGCAGCCTTTTGGGTTGTGCTTTCGTGAATTAAACACTTTGAAAATTTAAAGTGCTTCCCCCAAAGTACCCATCCCCTCGGCTGGTGGCCTCTTGGGATCGTAGGGTAGAGGGAGGCCAGCTCAGGTCACTGTGGGGTTCGCGGCTTTAGTTGCCTGGCAGGGTCAGGTTTCAGAACCTGATGTGTGGGTGGGGGAGGGTCACCTTAGAAGTTGTGCAGGGTATGAGGGAGGCTGGGGTGGGACGGCTGGGTGGTGAGGGAAGCTGGAGCTTTGCTCCACTCCTCAGGGAACATTATTTAATATGGACTAGTGGACCCCCTTTTCCTGCATTTTGTGAACTCGTGCCCTTTGAAAAAAATCGACTTTTACAATGAAGACTTAATTTCGAAAATCTGCACTTTAACATAAAGCCATTATTCTACTTTTAAAAAAGTAAATTATATGTATTTTGTCATAAAAAAAAAAAACACAGGCTACCAGAAATTAATCTACAAAATTGAGTCTTCAAGAAGCATAGTACCCATAAAATAGTGCTATTGAAATCTCAGAATTGTATTCATTTAAAAATTTTATTGAGCTCCGCAATGTACATTAGTAAAGGCTGTAAAATCAGAACATGCATTCTGCCTTCGAGTCCTGGCATTGCCACCTTTTAGCTGTGTGACCTTGGACAAGTCACTTACTTTCTCTGTGCCTATCTTACTATTGGTGAAATTGGGGTAATAACATATACCACACAGGGTTGTTATAAAAAGTAGGTTGGTATGTGTAAAGCAGTTGGAAAAGGCCTGGCATTTGCTCTTATTCTGTTTTCAGGGAGCTCACAGTTTAGTCAGGAAGACAAATCTTATAATCAACATTCATTTGATAAATTTGTGTGTTAAACACCTGTTATGTGCTAGGAGCTCAGCGCCATTTCAGGTTTACAACAAGGAAAGATATGCTGTGGCCAGTTTAACTATATGTGTGTACCAACAATATAGAAAGGTAGTAAAAAGGAGCGCAAGATCCCCTTGGCTTAACCAGGAGTTCCTAACCTGGGGTCCTCAGCTCCTCAGAAGATCTGCACATATATTTCAGGGGGTTCCTGAACTCTGATGGGGGAAAAATATAAATTTATCTTCATCAATCTCCAAATGAAATTGAGCACTTCCTTTAGTTGTGAATATGAGTAATGTTTCTGTTATCTATTATTGGGTAACAAATCACTACAAACCAGTGCCTTAAAACAAGAATTTTTTTTTTTTTCAGTCTTGTTCTGTTGCTCAGGCTGGAGTGCAATGGCTCGATCTTGGCTCACGGCAACCTCTGCATCCTGGGTTCAAGCAGTTCTGCTTCAGCCTCCTGAGTAGCTGGGATTACAGGCACCCACCACCATGCCTGGCTAATTTTTGTGTTTTTGTGTTTTTAGTTGAGACGGGGTTTCGCCATGTTGGCCAGGCTGGTTTTGAATTCCTGACCTCAAGTGATCCTCCCACCTTGGCTTTTCAGAGTGCTGGGATTACCGGTGTGAGCCACCATGCCTGGCCAAAACAGTAATTACTTCTGAAAATCTGTAGGCTTGCTGGGCAGTTCTGCTGGTATGTCCCAGTGGCTGAATTCAGCTGGTGGCTTGGCTGGAAGTTGGCCTCACTCCCATGTCTGGGGGCTTGGTACCCCGCCATAGGCCTAGCTTGGGCTTCCTCACCTGGTTACTGAGTTCCAAGAGGGCAAGTCCCAAGGCACAAACAGCATCATATTTGCTGATGTCAAAACAAGTAACATAGCCAAGTTCAGAGTTGATGTGGTGGGGAACTACACAAGGTCATAGATATGAGTAGGTACACTTCACTGGGGTCCATTCATTTAACAAGCTCCTATTGTATCAAACCACAGTAGTGTTAGCAGTACCTGTTACCAATAGAAGTCACAGTACCAGCACAAGTCACAGACATTTTCATGTCACATTACAGTTGTTGCAGATCTCAAAATATCATTTATGCTCATTACTACTTCAGAACTATGGTGGTTATAAGACTCACTGCTAGATCTTTTTGTTTAGTGGGCTAATAAAGAAGCACATACTGCTTATGTCAGATATTTAAGTCTAAAAAATAAGATTATTTCAATATAGTTGGCATTTTTTTGTATGCAATTAGAAGCATTATTTTGAAAAGGGGTTCATAGGGCTTACAGACTGCCAGAGAGATCCATGGCACAAAAAAGGTAAAGAAACCATGGACTTCAGGGAAGGCTTCACAGACAGAACACTTAAATTTAAATTTGAAAGACAAGTAGTTCTTCAGGCACATGAGCTGGGGAACATCAGCCGTGGTATTGCACTGGGGGGAGTGCTGGTAGCTCAATTTTTTTTTTTTTTTTTTTTTTTTTTGTGACAGAGTCTCACTCTGTTGCCAGGCACCAGGCTGGAGTGCAGTGGCGCGATCTCGGCTCGCTTCAACCTCCACATCCTGGGTTCAAGCAAGTCTTCTGCCTCAGCCTCCTGAGTAGCTGGGACCACAGGTGCGTGCTACCACGCCCAGCTAAATTTTTGTATTTTTTAGTAGAGACGGGGTTTCACCATGGTCTCGATCTCTTGACCTCGTGATCCGCCCACCTCGGCCTCCCAAAGTGCTGGGATTACAGGCTTGAGCCACCGTGCCTGGCTTTTTTTTTTTTTTTTTTTTTAAGATGGGGTTTCACCATGATGGCCAGGCTGGTCTTAAACTCCTGACCTCAGGTGATCCACCCACCTCAGCCTCCCAAAGTGCTAGGATTACAGGCGTGAGCCACTGCACCTGGCGTGGTAGCTCAATTTTGATGTTTCAAGGGGAAGATACAGGGAGCTGAGATGATGATGATGATGATGATTTGAGACCAAGTCACACTCTGTCACCCAGGCCGGTGTGCAGTGGATGATCTCAGCTCACTGCAACCTCTGCCTCCCAGGTTCAAGCTGTTCTGCTTTAGCCTCCCGAGTAGCTGGGGTTATGGGCACCCACCACTACACCCAGCTAATTTTTTGTATTTTTAGTAGAGACAGGGGTTCACCATGTTGGCCAGGCTGGTCTCAAACTCCTGACCTCATGATTCGCCTGCTTTGACCTCCCAAAGTGCTGGGATTACAGGCGTGAGCCGCTGTACCCAGCCAAGCTGAGATTATTTCAGGTGAACATGTACTTTGGGTAGAAAAGACCACAACAAACCTTGGAAGACACCAAAATGTAAGGAATAGGTGGAGGAAAGTGGGAGCAGAAAAGAGTGATGTTTAGAAAATCAAGGGAGTAAAGTTTCAAGGAGAAATGGCTATGTTAGGATGCTTTCAGCTGGGAAAACCCCATTGCTTAAATGGTAAGGAAAATTATTTCACAAAGTCCAGAGGAAGAATGAATTCCAGGCTGTGATTCAGTTGTTCAGTAGTGTCATCAAGGACCCATCTCTTGGCTTTCCACAGTCAGGTTGGTTTCCTTTAGGGTTGCAAGATGACTACCAGTAACATACACACTTTCTCATTCTCTAGAGCAAGAGGAGGAGAGAGGAAAAACTCCCACACTTGGTCCTTCAGTCTGATTGGACCAACTTGGGTCAGTTGTCTGACCCTATACCGTTGTCAGAGGAATGCCATGATCTGATTGGGTTAGACTAAACAGGATCAACCCAGGGTGGTGTCACTTCATCACAGGGGAGAGGAATGCATTCATGAACACACTAGAGTTCTTTTAAGAAGGAAGAGGGAGAATAGAGACTGGGTATGCAACCAGTAATGTCTGTGACAGAGATAAAAGCTAGGTAATGAGGTGTGTTTGTTGATTTGGACACTTGGGAAAGCTTTCATGATCCTTATACTTTAGGTTTACTGATGGAAGTGAAGGGTAGGTTAACGTGGGTTGGTGACTGAGGGATGAGTAAATGGACACTATGGTGGTTGATAAGCTTGACTGTTAAGGGAAGCAGAGAGAATATGATAACTAGAAGGAGATGTTCAGTCAAGATTCTAGAGAGACTACCTCAGCTTTACAAGGGAGAGAGATCCCCACCTGAGAGATGGAATGAAAAGAAAGCTGCAAGGGATTGTAGACCAGTGGTTCTCTGCAGAATGGTAGGAGCCCCTTAAGGTACGTTTTGGAAACTTGTGGGGTTGTTCTTTTTTTTTTAACTTTGCAAAAATTATAACTGAAAATGGGGTTGTTCTTTATGTCTTTATTTGTGTTGAACATTTGCATACTGAAATATAATTCATATAAATCTTTCCTTTTTATTCACCTTTATGCTACCGTGGTATACTGATTTACTTTTTGGACTTAGGCACGTAGGTTAGTGCTGAAGTTTATTTCAGGATAGCAAAAGAGTGTCAAAAAATGTTTGTCATAAAATATTGATGTTAGGTCTAGTAGTTGTGAACCAGTGCTTGTTAAACTTTAATGGGCATACGACTCTTGTTGAAATGCAGGTTGCAATTCAGTAGGTCTGGGATGTGGCCTCAGATTCTCCATTTTTTAGCTAGCTCCCAAGTTCTGTAGTTTTCATTGGTCCCCTTTGAAGAGCAGGAATTGAGGCAAATCAGTAGATGAATGGTTCTTGTGTTTTCGAGATGGATGGTTTTATGAGTGTGGTGGGATTTGCAAGAGGCACTGACCAAGGAACAAGAAGATAGGCCAGACCCTTTGAGGGCTCTGCTGAGAGCACTCCTCCTGCATGTTGGTGCAGAGTGGGGATGGAGTAAATGGTAGGATTGATCCGGGTTTAGGAGTTAACAGCTGGGGTCAACTGGAACTGGAGGGCAAAGGAGTTAATAGTATAGGT